TTTCCTTTGTTGTGCAAAAGCTTTTAAGTTTAATGTTGAGATTTAAACCAACATTTTCACTCTCCTCTTCACTTTCATCAAGAGGCTCTTATGTTCTTCTTCACTTTCTGCCATAAGGGTGTTGTCATCTGCATATCTGAGGTTACTGATACTTTTACCAGCAATCTTGATTCCAGCTTGTGCTTCATCCAGCCTGGAATTTTGCATGATGTACTCTTCATATAAGTTAAATAAGCAGGGTGACAAGATATAGCCTTGACATACTACTTTCTCGATTTGGAAGTGCTCTGTTTTTCCATGTCCAGTTCGAACTGTTTCCTCTTCACCTGCATACAGATTTCTCAGGAGTCAGGTCAGGTTGTCTGGTATTCCCATTTCTTTAAAAATTTTCCACAGTTTCTTGTGATCCACATAGTCAAAGGCTTTGGTGTAGTCATTAAAGCAGTAGTAGATGTTTTTCTGGAACTCTCTTTCTTTTCAATGATTCAACAGATATTGGCAATTTGTTCTCTGGTTCCTCTGACTTTTCTAAATCCAACTTGAATATCTGGAAGTTCAAGGTTCACCTACTGTTGAAGTCTAGCTTGGAGAAATTTGAGCATTACTTTGCTAGTGTGTGAAATGAGTGCACTTGTGTGGTAGAGTGAACATTCTTTGGCATTGCCTTTCTTTGGGGTTGGAATGAAAACTGACTTTTCCAGTCCTGTGGCCACTGCTGAGTTTTCCAAATTTGCTGGCATATTGAGTGTGGCACTTTCACAGCAGCATCTTTTAGGATTTGAAATAGCTCAGCTGGAATTCCATCACCTCCGCTAGCTTTGTTTGTAGCGATGCTTCCTAAGGACTGGTTGACTTCACATTCCAGAATGTCTGGCTCTAGGTGAGTGATCACACCATTGTGTTTATCTGGGTCATGCAGACATTTTTTGTATAATTCTTCTGTGTATTCTTGCCACCTCTTCTTAATATCTCCTGCTTCTGTTAGGCCCAAACCATTTCTGTCCTTTATTGAGCCCATCTTTGCATGAAACGTTCCCTTGGTATCTCTACATTTCTTGAAGAGACCTCTAGTGTTTCCCATTCTATTGCTTTCCTCTTTTTCTTTGCATTGATCACTTAGGAAGGCTTTCTTATCTCTCCTTGCTATTCTTTGGAACTCTGCATTCAAATGGGTATATTTTTCCTTTTCTCCTTTGCCTTTGGCATCTCTTCTTTCATCAACAATTTGTAAGGCCTCCTCAAACAACCATTTTGCCTTTTTGCATTTCTTTTTCTTGTGGATGGTCTTGATCTCTGCCTCCTATACAATGTCACAAACCTTAATCCGTAGTTCTTCAGGCATTCTGTCTATCAGTAGTCTTTCAAATATTTGAAGATATGTTCTCTCCAGATCTTGCTCTCTTTAAATTAAGCAACCTCAACTTCTGGAGCCTTGATTGCCTCATATCATATTTTTTAGGTGCCTCATCATTCTTGATTTCTCTTATCTAGAAGCAGCCATCTGTGAATATTTCTTTTAAAATAAGAAGCAATCAACTGAACAGAGTAAATGTTGTCTGATCAAGGTACAGGATACCTTAGTACATTTCTTGCTTTATATGTTTTTTCATAATGCAGTTTGTCTCAATTATCTTGCTTAAGATCATTGGTATACTAGAAAATATTCAATTTATAAAATTTTGAAATAAAGCATTTCCCACCTTAAGTATTTATTGCCCATCATTTACTTTTGTAACTGATTTTCACAAACATAAATGAAATACTGAGTGTTGATCCCTGTCAAACTTGATCTTGTTCCGTTTGTATGTTGAGACTTTTGAGATCTTTGAAATCTTGGTTAATATACATGCTTTAAATATTCTTCCTCTATTGATTTCACATACAAGTTCAATAAACATTTAATTAATATATTGTGAACAGAGTAGGTACAGATGCATAAGTCATGACATTAGAAACACCTCTGATTTCTGAATGTTTATTACTTTTGCCTAGATTGCATCACACAGTCTATACTTTCCTATATCCACTCATTCAAAAAGGCTTATTCAATGCTTACTACATGCCAGGTGTCATTCTAGGTACTGGTGCTATAACAGTAAATAAAACAGATAAAATCCCTACCCTCTTGGGGAAGAACAGAATAAGCATATAAACAAATTACATGATTTCTTATAGTGATGTTAAAAAATAAATAAAGCACAACAGGAGGATAGAGGAGAGAGACTGATTTGGGGATAGTATTTTAAGTATATTGGTCCCTGAAGATACATCTGAGGAGGCAAATTTTAGCAGACAATCTGGGTGAAGAAGTGTGCTATGTGGAGATCTGAGGAAAGAGTTTTCCAAGAAGGCACAAATGTAACATATATAAAGCCAGAACAGGCTTCCCAGAAAGAGGTGTGATGGAGGTAAAGGCTTAGTTACAACATAGTGAACTAAGGCAGAAAAAAGTGGTGACAGTTAAGTAGTAACAATGATTTAAAACTTTATTTTTACTCTAATGGGAAACATTTGGAGGGTTTTAAACTGGGAAATGATATGATCTGATTCAACTTTGTAAAGAATGTTTTAACTGATGTTAAAAGAAAGTATTAAAGAAGGACAATAGAAGATTATAGGAAATCATGTAAGATGCTTTTGTATTGTATCTATTCAAGCTAGAAGTGATACTGTATTTGGTATAGTAGGAAAAGAGGAAGTAAAATGTGCTCATATTTGGAGCATATTTTGAAGGTACAGCATACAGAATTTACTGATGTCTTGGATATTAAGTGTGAGGGGAAAAGAAGAATGATCAACTACAAAAAAAATTACCTCTTTTTGTAATAATCTGGTTTATAAATTTTTCAAGGGTAAGGAAGCTGCCACTTTTCTCTCAAATCACTTCATTTCAAGGTATGCAGTAAGTACTTAATGAACATGTTAACTTGTCATAGATAGTTCATCTCTAAATTCTCCACTTCCACTCTTATTATTCTTTATTTAAAGTATCTCAACTTCAATTATTTCTCTTCATTTATGCTCTTAACATCCTGATTTAGACTCAAGTAATCCGATTACTATTACAACTATCTAAGTGATCTCTGTCACAACAGCCTACTCCCAATCTGGTTCAAACAGCAAAATGATGACTGACAGATCACTTGAAAAATCTTTCAGTCATTCTTTCAAAATCTGCTTACTGATTTGTCTACTTTATGTCCAGGACTCTTCTAGATGCCATCGATATAATAATAAAACAGACAAAGAAGCTCACCCTTGTGAAGTCTATATTTGCAATAACTAAAATATATAGAGTATATTAGCAATAAGTGCTATAGGGAAAAATTTAAAAAGAAAAGGGTATAGGTAGGTAGGTATAGGGAGTGTGGAAAAGATAGAAATTTGAAATATGATTGTGTAACCTCTTTAAATTTTAAAGAAATTACTTTGAAAGAAGTTACATATAATTAATACATTTTAAAGAGGTTACATTTGAGCAGAGATGTGAATCAAGTAAGGGACCAAGTCCTAAAAAAGATCAGAGGGAACAATAGTACAAGGGCCCTGATGAGGTCAGGAGCTTAATTTGTTTGAGAAATGAAGAAAACGCTGTGTGACTGGCAAGTGAGTTAGTGGTAGAGTGGCAGGAAAGAAGGCCAGAGAGATGGGAAAAGCCAGATCATTTAAGACATTGGAGTTAATTTGTATTTTGTAGCATATGTGAATGGAAGCCATTGGATGATCTGGAGCTGGTCATGATCTGACTTTTGTTGTAAGAAACACTTAAACTGCTCTATAGATTGACTGTAAAAGTTTGAGGTACCTTGCCCTAAGGCCCTTGGTAGCTTTTAATAAGATCAAAGTTCTCTGCCTACATTCAAAGGCTTTAATATCAATCTACCTTATCTCCCACTGGTTCCCAAAATATGCCCTCTGTTTGTGAGGCTGATTTCATCATGAACCTCCTGTATATATATATATATATATATACACACACACACATATATATACACATATATATATTTATATTTATATATACACATATACTGTCCTACTTTTGCCTATTTCTTCCCCTTTAAGACAATGTTTTCCATCCTTTCTTATCCCCCATTCAACAATCAGCTCAGTTTTCAATACAACACAGAATGCTTCTACAACTATCCTCACCTCACTGATCCTTTCAGTCATTAAATGATGTAACTCTTGTCTGTCCTTTATACTGAACAACATGGTCATGTACTTTATTGTATTGTGTGTGTGCTAGTCATACTGTATCTATGAATGGTAAGTTCCATAATGGCAGAAGATCAATGAATTCTGTATCTCTAGTGGCAATATCGTTCAGCTTATTTTGGGAGTGTATCAAGTGTGTTAACTAAGGTAACATATAGCTTGAGGGTTGTTTTTTGTTTTTTTTCCTGTTATGGTATAATGGTGATTACTCAAACTTCCAACAAAACAGATATTAAGGTTAGGTGAACAGAAACGATAATTTTAATTTCTTCAGTTGTCAGACTCAACAGGAGACCTTAACCAATACACTCACTCTTGGGCTTGTTTTAACAGTACACAAACTCTAAAGGCTCAGTGGACACCTTGATTTCGGTAATATTTTTCTGAATGTTCGATACATTTGTCAATTAAACACTGACCACCAAAAATATATATATTTCTGTATGTGATCACTTGATTTTGGCAGGGTGCAACAATTCTGCTGCAAGCGAATCTCGACTTGGAAGACCAGGCAGGACCTGCTCAAATGGCTGGCATATAACTACTATAGTCACAGGGATGCTGGGCGTTCACTTCTACTCAGGAAGCCAGAGGTACTGAGAGACTTGGCTTCAGATGTAGCTGATACGTGCGGGGAGAGGCAGCCCCATTGCAGGCAGCTATCTCTCCTCCCCCTACCCACTCTTGGGTTCTGGGCTGAGGCCAGGGACTGTCCAGAGCTGATCTCGGGCTCCCATTGGCCGCTGTCTTTTGTGACGTCACGATCATGATGAGAATTGATGATCGGACACGCTGATTTCATTGTCTGAGGAGGCAGTGAAGACCCAGGAAAAATCTCGCTGAATACGCCTGCCCCAGAACTGCCTTGATCTGGGATCTTCTTTCTTTCCTGTGACCGCACCACACCCGAGGTAAGCACCCTGCATGTGTGGGTGTGTAAGGTGAAGGAGGGCGAACAAGGCGCCGAGCTAATGCTCTGCTCAGTGCCAGGCACGGAGGTTCAGCGGCCTAAAAAGGCTGCCAACAGACTGGTGCGGCTTTTGGGAAACCAACTGCTTCTACCCTCCGAGTGAAGCCTAGAGGCAGCATGAGGTTAAAAAAGAGCTGATGAAAGGGATACAGTAGACACTGGCAGAGAGCGAAAGATCTCGCTCCGAGAGAGGGCGACGTTTGGGTCGCGCTTCTGGCCCCAGAGTAAGAGGAAGTGGCGACTCTGTCTCGGAAGAAAGGAAAGAGGTGAATTCTACCACTTCTAGATTTCACTGGACTGTAGATTTCGCACAGCCCTACTCAAACGCGCAGAAGGTGCTGCGCCTGCGCAATAACCACCTTTGTGGGGCGGGAGCGGGGGTGTGGGTGGGTGAGGAGTTCCTGGCTAGGAGAATAGGCTTAGAATTTGCGCATGCGCTTTTTTCTTTATCTGGAGGGGGTGGGGCTGAGGTCTGTCTGAGCAGAATTTGGGAAGGGTTGGTAAATTGGCCTTGTAATGTTTCAAGCGCTAATTGATGGAAAGAATCTATCAGTTACTTTGTAAGAGCATATCCATCCCCAAGTGGGCCTGAGAATTTTAGGACGGCAAATTCTTAATCTTCACTAATCGGATTTAGAATAATGGAAAGAACTCAGAGAGGAGTTTGGAATAGAAATTACTGAGATGAGAAACCATTTGGAGAAAACACTAATTATTCAAGTGAATCAAACTTTTAGTCTTCAAGGAACTCTGATTAGGTGTGCCACTCAGTGATGTTTGATACTTAAACTGTTTGGAGAGACTAAAAATATAAACAAAAATCCTTACCTGTCTCCTTTTTCCTTCTTGAAAAAGTCTCTTATAAAGCTTTGGTCTCAGTTTCAGGCTTGGTGCTAAGTCCTTTTCCCTTCTTCCTCTGTGCCACTGTTAGAACCAAGGTCAAATCTTATTTTGAGAGACACTTGTCCAACTTCCCTTCATTGGGAGGGACTATATTACTCAGCAAACATGAGGAACAATCCTGCCTATCTGCCTTTGTTCTGTCCTTGGTGGATAAATTTTATAGTAGTGTTAATACTTCTGCTCCACGGTCAGATCATGAACTCCTAACTATTTTACAAAGAAATATGGATTTTTCCCCATTTCTCATAGTTAAGGGGTTATCAAGTCTTGTGAGTTTTCCTTTGAAAGCCTCTTCTACCATTTCCCCCTTATTTTGCAGTCTAAACTCTCATCACTATCCATTCAGTCATTCCAGGAGCCTCCTACCCAGCCTTCTAATTCATCCTAACAGGCTAATGACTTAAGCACTTCCTTCAACAAATCATTTTTCTTCACCAAAATATTATTGGCTCCTTATTTTCTATTGTTCAAAGCCCAGATATACTTGGATTGCAAAGAGCTTCCTAATCTCACTTAATTGTACCACAGGAATATTATCTTTATTTCTTAGTGCACAACTGTCCCTAATGAGCCCTGAACAATCTACCTACAGAATTTCGCTCCTTGTACAATTACCACTCCCTTCACCTAGGATGCTCTCTCTTTGTCTAATCAAATCTTACCCTCTTTGAAAGCTCAACTTAAGTTACACCTCTCATAAGTACCTCCTAAGTATAATCCAACTCTTATTAAGCTCACCTTTTCTAGAACTCCTATGTCAGTTCTTACATTTGCCACTTTTCTTATAGCCTGCTTTAATTTTGTGTGTGTGTATGTGTTAGACCAGATTCGTCAACTGGATTTTAAATCTGTTCTTAAGAGTTGGTACCATGCCATCTACCATGTATTTCTTTATCCAAGGCACCTAGATGACTATTTGAAATATCTATTGCTATATGGTCTTTGTTTTCCAATTTCTTGGGAAATGAAGTAATATAGTTATAAAGAACTGTATGTACGTGGAAACTTATTCATCATTCGTCAAGCAAGGAACCCTCCAGTGACTGAATAAACCTGAATATGAGTCAAAGAAAATGCAATACAGACATCTCTATATGTTGGGTGACCTGTGAATATATTTTGTCCTCATAAGACCAAAGGAACATTATCCCAGAAGTGGTTCTGTCTGTGATTTTCTCAGTTTGAAAAATACTAAGACATTTTCCTATTTCTGTGTTTCTCTTTGATGACATTGCTTTATGCATTTCTTTTAAATATACCAATTATTCACTCTTTTTATTGCAAGATGTCTTACATTTGCTGCTTTACATTGACTGTCACTGATAGTTTTTATCTTGAATCAGAGCTAATCATTGTGATGGTTTCCATAATTTCTATTTTATAACATTTCAACTGTCACTTTCCTGCTCCTTGGGCTTCAAACTGCATTGTTTCATGGACCTCAATTTTATTTGAATGAAAGTGACTGTGGTTTAATACAGAGGCTTTCTATAGATTTTACTTTGCGGCCTCACTTTGAGGAACCATCACAATATTGTATCAAGGTTTGAGGTTGAGGAACATGCATGAAAAGCAGTCCAAAGGGTATTATCATAACCTGTAAACTTGAGAACTATTGTGAAGTAAACTATGAATATTTTTTAAAGTATTTAATTAATTCTACTTTTAAAATTGTACTCCCAGAGGGAATTATGTTTTTGTAGTAATGTGTTTTTTTATGTTTTTATGTATTTTTGTGACCCCCAACAGGATAAAAATACTTGAATTGTTGATTTTGATTTTACTGTAGAGTCTGATAAACATGAAACTAGCGGTGTCTGAATATACTATATCTAGCATAGTGATTTGGAAGTAAACTGTGAAAATTCTAGAGATATATGTTCTGCATACAAAGGGGACTCTCCAGTTAGTATATTCAGAAACTGTCACCAACAACTGTGACCTTTCTAGCCTCCATAAAATTTCAAGACAATAAACTGAAACCTGTCTATGCAAATGGAATCATTTTTGTGCTAACAAGTAGCTAAATTGCCTGGAGTAACCAGCGATCCAGGTACATAGCAGCTGAACAATTAACATTATACTGTGTCAGTCAAATGCTATTTTATGCCAATCAAATGCTATAATTTGCATTTGACATCTGTAAAGAAACTTACAACAGCAGCTGTCTTACCTTCTTGATCTATCATTTTTCATGAGATTTATCTCCAATTGGGTTGATCCTTAGAATCTTTAAATGTGTTATTTTTTAGAGAGGCAAAAATTGAGGAAAATGTTTTCTTAGCTGTTCTTCCCTTGGAATTGGGGGAAATTTACTTTAAGCTTCTTAATACATCCATGGAAACATGTAACTTATATGCCCTGTGTAGGCACTTTTCTCAAGTAGACAAGCATTTGTGTATGGTGCCTGCCCAAAATCATACAAGTAGTAAGTGGCAGAGCCAGTATTTCAAAGCAAGCATCATTCTAGAGGCTTCACTCTTAACTACTAGGTTCTAGATTGGAGAGCTAGAGTGAGGCCAAACTTCATTTATTGTTTTTAAACATTGTGTGTAAAATTTCTCCAGACTTATCTCTCTTTATGATTATGTAATGCCTGTGACATATTCCTTTCTCAGTGGAAATGAAAATTTTTAACAGATAGGCTGAGTTTTAGAAGGGATCTTTGTTTTGACTCCAGTGGCTTCAATGGCAGAAGGCATATAGACCCATACATTATTTTTCCTACTGTCAAGTACCGAGCAGTGGTGAAAGTATTTCTTCACTGTGAAAGGACAGATAGAGGTGTTTTCTCCTACAGTAATACATTGCTTTATATATTATACTTTCTTATTTGTTTAGTTTGGTCTACCTATTGTGTCTTTTATGGATGAAATTTGTTGTTGTTTAGTCGCTAAGTCATGTCTGACTATTTGCAATCCCATGGACTGCAACACACCAGACTTCCCTGTCCTTCACTATCTCCTGGAGTTTGCTTAAACTCATGCCCGTTGAGTCAGTGATGCCATGTAACCATCTCATCCTCTGTCGCTCCCTTCTCCTCTTGCCCTCAGTCTTTCCCAGCAGCAGGGTATTTTTCAGTGAGTCAGCTCTTCACAACAGGTGGCCAAAATATTGGAGCTTCAGCTTCAGCACCATTCCTTCCAATGAATATTCGGGATTGATTTCCTTTAGGATTGACTGGTCTGATCTCCCCGTTGTCCAAGGAACTCTCAAGAGTCTTATACAGCACCACAGTTCAAAAGCATTAATTCTTTGTTGCTCAGCCTTCTTTGTCTCACATTCATACATGGCTACTGGAAAAACCATAGCTTTGATATACAGACCTTTGTCAGCAAAGTGATGTCTCTGATTTTTGATACAGTGTCTAGATTTGTCATAGTTATTTTTCCAAGGAGCAAGTGTTCTTTAATTCTGTGGTTGCAGTCACTATCCGAATTGATTTTGGAACCCAAGAAAATTAAATCTGACAGTGTTTCCATATTTTTCCCATCTATTTGCCATGAAATGATGGGGCCAGGTGCCATGATCTTCATTTTTTGAATGTTGAGTTTTAAGCCAGCTTTTTCACTCTTCTCTTTCACCTTCATCAAGGGGCTTTTTAGTTCTTCTTCACTTTCTGCCATTAAAGTGGAGTGGTATCATCTGCATATCTGAGGTTGTTGATATTTCTCCTCACAATCTCAATTCCAGCTTGTTCTTTATCCAGCCTCGCATTTGCATGATGTACTCTGCACATCAGTTAAATAAGCAAGGTGACAGTATATACCCTTGATGTACTCTTTTCCCAATTTTGAACCAGTTCATTTTTTCATGTCCGGTTCTAATTGTTGCTTCTTGACCTGCATACAGGTTTCTCAAGGAGACAGGTAATGTGGTTTGGTATTCCCATCTCATTAAGAATATTCTGCAGTTTTTTGTGATCCACACAGTCAAAGACTCTAGTGTAGTCAATGAAGCAGAAATAGATTTTTTTTGTTGTTGTTGGAAATCCCTTGCTTTTTCTATGATCCAGTGTATGTTGACAATTTGATCTCT